AAATGGAAGATGTTCTTTTTTTATGCTTTTCTATGTTCTTGTTTGTTTATGTATGTTTTGTGTTTGTTGTAAAAAATAAAAAATTTTATTAAAAAAAAAAAAAGAGAGGACTTTGAAGGTTGGACACTAGAGGAAACTAGAAAGAACTAAAGATTATATTAAAGGAGAAGAGACCCATTAATATAGGATGGAGCAAATCAATCTGACTTTGGAAGAATTCAAGGATACTTGGGAACAATGCACTCAGAAATTGCTCTTAAGATTGTCTGCTATTATAAAAACAGATTCAAAAGAGGTTATAGAAGAGGAACAGATTTTACTGGACAAAACAGAGATTGAGACTGATTTGAATGTGGATCTGAAAGTGGATTTAAAAATGTCAGACTACAAGAACGATACAGAAATAGATCTTACACTGGACTTAAAAATGAAATCGGCTTTTTAGTTAGTCTTAATAACTAAAAGGGACCTACAAATGATAAATCAGAAGAGTGACTTGGATAATTTTCTTATGTTGGAATTACAAAAGAGATGTGTTAAATATATGAAGGAATTTCTGAGAAGAGACAAAGTGAAAATGTATTCTTTTGAAACATTATTTAAAGGGATGAAAGATTAAGATTTTAAAAAGCAAAAAGAAGAAGGAGAAGGAGAAGGAGAAGGAGAAGGAGAAGGAGAAGGAGAAGGAGAAGAGATCCTTTGTTGCATTTCTAGAGAAAGTGATTAGTTACTGTGCTAAAAAGGAAAGGAAAGGAATATAAAACTGGGTTATTTGATTAAGGTTAAAATATATATGTTGCTGTTTCTGGTAACTCTTAATAGACTTTTGCTGATTAGAACTGAATGATAAGGCCTTAAATTTTGTTTATAGATGAGATATGGGAAGAAGAGATATTTTGTTGAAGTATCAGAGAAGGTGATAAGTTACTAAAATTGTACTTGTCTTGATGAAGAGGGAAGTCATTTCTTTATATATTTCATTTTTCTTTATTATTTTTTCTTTTTTTCTTTTTCTCTGCACTTTTAAAATTTTGTTTACTTTTTATAATTTTCTTAGTTTGTATTAGTTTTTTAACCTTGTATCTGTAAATTTTAATAAAAATTATTATAAAAGAAAAAAGAAAAATATCCCAGAATTGTAGTGGCAAGGCAATTTGTACTCTTCCCCCCCACCCAAAAAACCCTCATGGACATGTCCATGAAGTCACCAAGACTTGATTATTATCAAAGGAGAATTTACTACAATGAACAATAAATTGTCTGAAATCTCACCTCCATTTATTAATGTTTCTCCTTTAAAAAATTGCCTCTGTATGTATAAATGCCTTTCTGAGCAACAATATTAAATATGGATGTATTTCTTTTTAAAATCACATGTAAGTAAGTAAATAATAGGTCATGTGTATAATTCATATATATAGATGCACATACATAAACATTTTCCTTTTTTCACTACTGAAGATGGTGCATGAAAAAATCAGATAGTCAGGACAATTGGATGGAAGAGGCACCACCAGAATTTGGCATCCTCCACCATTATGTATATAAAGGCTTTTCTTACAGGTACAATAAACATATTGATACAATATACACATCTTAATAAAACTAATATAAATATAAGGAGAAAAAGAGAGAAAAAAATCAATATAGATATTACACCTACTGTATATAAAAACTACTGCAACTCATTTTTTAAACTACTTAAACCTTGACCACGCAGAACCATATTGTGCAATCCTTCCTTTTCCTTGATAAAAAGCTAATTCAACGCCTGATGGATAGATTTAGTTGAGCCAGTGTTTATTAACTGATGTACAAGGATCAAACTTTGGGGCCACTGTTCAAGCACACTAGATCCAAAGCTCTTACAAATTTGCAAATTCCAAATTTTGGAATATAATTTAACAGCATATTAATGCCTTTATACCTTAAGTTCCTCCTGTTGGAATATTTTCCTTATATGTTTATAATAAGTTTAAACTAAGGATTGATGAAAGATTGTATAGGCAGTAGTAATGCCTTTTTATCAAGGGAAAAGGCTGGCTCCTGCCATTATAAATAAATGAGCACATTGCGCAGCAAAACCTATGTAAAGGAAGACATATGTATAGTAAGGCAAAATGCCCATTTAAATAGACATTGTGATCAACTATAGATAAGGAAACATCTGTTTTAACAGAATATGAAAGAAGGATTGCACAAGAGGAAGATATTCGTGCTGATAGAGCAGGAACTATTGTAATAAGCTAACATATTCTATTCTATTGATTAAATCTTTAAACTAAAAAACTATAAGAAGGGAGAGAGAGGAGCAATCCATCATAGCTGCTACCCAATGGGTTGAATTGATAACCTTGGGTTGAATAAATATATTTTCTTTGACCTCACCTGGTGTGTTTTATTGGATTCTCGGCTTGGGCACGAACCCTGGGAAAAGGTATCTGCTCCTTCTGACACTCCCAAGAACCTTGTTCACCATAGTAAGAATACCCCACCAATAAATGGCTACTAGCAGATATGATCATAGCATATGTACAGTGTAACTTCAAATTTATTAATCTCCAACATCAGCAGCCTTTTAAAAAACATTTTAGGAGCGTAGGGAGTTCCTAAAATTTTTTGTTGAATTAGCTTTGTTTTACAATCATTGGCAATGTTTCTTAAGACCCGGAACCATTAATTGTTTAATATGGGAAACTCTATTTTTTCATATCAGATTTCTTGCATAAATCAAATTTTTTTCATTTTTTTAAATTGTTGGCAACATTGAATTGTTGGCTTAAAGAAACTTTACGTTTTTAAATTATCATTAATTAACTGATTAAGAGTAACTGCCCCATGTTCTACTCATCTTTTTTTTTTAAAAAAGTGTTTCTTAGTTTTTGTAAATAAGGTTACTGCAAAGAGTCAATTTCTCATGAGAACTAGAATATGTTTTCTTACCCAAAATTACTAGAATATGTCCAGGCATCTTCAATATTGGAAATATGAAAGCTTTCCCACTATACTTACAACCAATCACTTGCCAGGATTTTAAGGGTGACAGATAATAACTTTCCAGTCCAGCTCATAACAGTACATATTCAAGTTCATTTTAATTCCAGTACATTACAGAAGGTAACAAATACATCCAGTGATATAATTTAAAGACAAGAAAATTAAAGCCTGCATTTTCAAATGGAAGCTGTAGCTCTTAAAAGGAGATCCTTGGTGTTTGACCATCGCATAGGAATTTAATAATTACTATTTGTTTAAAATATATGTAAAAACATAGCCAAAGTTTCCAACATCAACCTGAACATTAGAGGAGATGAGTTGCAAGACACATTTTATTTAGAGGAGAAATAATCTCATTGGTAATTACCCAAGCAAAAATTTAATTTGCATGATATCAAAGAACAAAGAATTCAGGTTTTGTTCCAGTAATTTTCATGCCAATGTTCCAAATAGTTGCACATTGCAGTAAGGACAGGTTGTAGCAGCTGCAGTTAAGCTCCCTCATTCTTTTCTTATAGCTTGCCTTTTCTCTGCGTTTACTAGGTTTTATAAATCTTCTTTTGCTTTAGAAGCAATTGAAATGCATTGGAAGAGTTGTTACAATAGAAAGCATTTACTTTAAGGCAGATGGCTTCTTTTGCTTTGATACAGTCAGTATGAAACCAAGATTTAGCTCTCATACTGGGGAAGATGAAACAATCTGAGGATAATCTTGACAGGGGAGCCTGAAGTGCAAGTCTAATAGACTGATAATGTATTAACATCTGCTTGGGGGGGGGGATCTGCTGAGCAGATTTGGAAGGTGCTCCCAGTGCAAATGTATGTCCACATATGTGTGCAAACAACTGGGGCAATTTTTGGAAGCAGCCTCAGAAGTGGTCCAAATGATATGACTGTTTTAAAACTTTGAAAATGGATGCTTTGCTGTCTCTAATAGACTTTGCAAAGCATTTCCTTATAATGTTTTGCAGTCCTATTCAGGGTTGTGCCACAATTAAAATGATAAATTCAGAAAAATAATCCTATTTTTTCAGTCCATTTTGCTGATTGGTTTATCTTTCTATAGATATGTAATTTTTTTTTTCTGTAAATCATTTGGAAACATATTATGTTCCTCCTGAAACGTTGCTCCTTCAGTGGAATGAAGGCAATGGCCCCTAATAGTCCTCAGGAAAGTTTTATACTGAGTCTGGGATGGCACAAATGTGATTATTTACCTTGTGGCTCACTATATTGTGCAGGAACTAGTGTGATTAAGTTTGTGTAACTAGGTTATGGTGGTACAAACCCAGGCAACTGGGTTAATTCTGCAAGCCTTGATTAAGTGTGTGTTAACTTACACTCGCTGTGTTCTCACAACACAGTAAACCACCTGGTTTAATAAAAAACACTGCGCTATAATCTATGGATTTAAAAACCATCAGCGTCTTCACCCCACACGCTGAACTACGTTACGATTCAGTGTGCGACGACGGCAAGGTAAGCTCTAATTTCCAGTCGCCCCCACGAATCCCGGTCAGGCTTTTCCAATTCTAGAACTGGGACCGCTGGTATGAGTATGCCGTGCGCATGCGAGTGACTGTTGACTGAGCGCAAGACGGGGCAAGGGAAAGCATATGTTCAGACGTAAGAAACCGGGGGTAGCGCAGGCCAGGTGGACTGACGTTTCTGTTCGGTTCCAAGTCACTTCCAATATGTCTCGGCCGCCACCACCCTGCAGTTCGTTTCCTCTCCGTAGTCGCTGGGAATGGCTGAACGTACCAAACCGCTAACCACCTCAGCGCCGCTGCGGAGCAATTCGGGAAAAGGGAGGCACGCCCCACCCCTCCACTTGGCCAATAGGCTTTCCGTGTTGCGGAGACGGCCCAAGACTTCGGGTGGATGTCCAATAAAAATCAAACGTGGGATGTGACTGATAGGAGCTCAGCCCAATAGAAGAGGATATCCGTCGGGAACGTGATCGTTTCGCGCGGGCTCCGATTGGGTGACTTGAAATAGGGAGGGGAAGATGGCGGAGTGAGGGGAAGAAGTGGAGCGAGAGCCGCTGCGGGCTGCGGCCCAGGGGCCTCAGCTGTGGTAAGAGAGTGGGGAAAACCAAGCGCTGCGGCAGAGAGGGTTACGAGCACTAGGCTTTATTGGGCATAAGCCCGACTCGGTTAAGGGGTTGGTTTGGCCCGGGCCGTTCGCGAGGTGAACAGGGATCTGTGCCCCGTGTGAGCCCGCTTCGCTGTCGCGACTCTTGGTCAGAACAAGTTGCAGGGTTATCGAGCAGAGCTTTAGCTCTTCATCCGACCTAGGCTCGAAAGTGTTCCCTGCCCTTTTCCTCCCTGGTTTAGGGTGCCAAACATAATGGGCGCTGGGACACTATCCTGAAGGATGAAGCTTTTTGCCTGCGTCCCGTTGGAGCTGGAATGGGAAACGGCGCTTCACGGGCGGCACTGAGCTCTGCAACTGCGAGGAAGGCACCGCTAGCCCTTCTGATCAGAATGGCTAATGGAAAGCCAGAGTCCTCGGGTGGAAGTTTCTGTTGGACCGCAAGCATGACCGGTTGGACAAGCTTGGTAATTGGTTTATCGGTATAAACAAATCTATACGTTCAACTCTAGACTTTTTCCGGCTTCCGCTGTCATCTCGGCGGATCCAAGGTTCACGGGATGGCTGTAGTTTAGACTTTCTTGCCTGTCCCAGAGTTTTCTTTTATGCCCGTTTTTTCTCGCCAAATCGATTTTTTAAATTTTATTTTGCATAGTGGCCCACATCCTAGTTTAATATTCGTAAGAGTGGGTTGTCCCCTTATCTTTGTGAAACCGGATTAGTGATTTGTTCTTTTGTTTTCCTTGGATTCAGAATTACACTTTATTACAACCCTCAGGTATTTTGTGACTTGGAACTGGAATTTAGAATGGGGATGGGTAGGAGGGCCAAATGTAGGCAGACATATTTTTTCAGTTGGTATTTCAGTATCACATCAGTGTTCTCCCTTTTTGAATTCCGGTTTTCTTTTCAAAATAGTTTAGTGATATATGCATATTCATAAGAGTAACAGATGAAGTGTTTTCTTTAAAGAATAGAAATAAAGAGCAATGATAGGGACAATGAGTTTGTCTGTAATGAAGTCAGTAATGACTAGTCTTAGAAAATGCATTGAGACATCTAGGGAAAAGGTCTTGTTGGATGTAATAGAGAATTGTTAGAGAATTCTGCAGATGGCTGGGAATAGCATTTTGAATACATTAATTCATATGCACTGTATTCATCAGTGTGTACTCTGAAAGCAGCTGCATCTATTGAAGTAGATATTGCCAAAATATTTTTAATGGATGCTTCTGAGTTTTGTTTATTCAGATGCTGAAATATCATTGAATAAAGGGACAGATGTGGAGAAACAGAGGACTTATGCAAAGTTGTTTTTTTTTTTAACTAGTCTTACTAATGAAACTAAAAATGGTAGTTGCCAATTCCCCTTTTGGGTTTTTTTCTTTTTTTCAAACTTCACATTCTGGCAGATCAGATCAGTTGGGAGTGTTCTAGATTAGGCTGCATTTCTTGAACATATGTAAATGCTTTTAAGAGATGGCATTTATCTCCAAATTAGCTGTTTTTCTCCAAGATATGGCAAGCATGGAACACAGCTGGGCATTGGTGTCTGAAAGCATCTTGAGTTCCTCTGAGTAGTGTTCTTGGAACATTCCCTTGCCTGACTTTTCCAGAGGACTCACAGAACAGAGGGTAATCTGATAGAAATACTGTCTAGTAGTAAATCTTACCTTTTCTAATAGCTGAAAGGTTTTCAAATGAAACATTTGAGGAAAAAATGGTTAAAGTACAATTTATGTAGCTTAAATATTTTATTCAAACAAAAGCTTTATTTTGGAACAACTATTAGTGTAATGCTTGAAAATAACGAAGTGTGACAATTTGATAGTACATATTTAATTGTTTTTAACATAAGAAAGATATGAAGGGGCTGAAAACTTTTTAATGTTATTTTAGTGACACTCTAGGAGCATCATACATATAATATTTCCTAAACTTAGTCATGGAGAGATTTAACTTTGAAACTGGCCAGTATGACTAGTTTATTTGTTACGATAATATTTTTAATGAATAAATGCATTTAAAAAAACTAAAATAGGCTTTTTGTGGAATAATACAAGTGGACAACTTTCTGTTTTATGTTACTGGTTTGGGCACAAAAATCTCAAAGAGGATCATGCTGGTGAACCAGTGTAGTGTAACAGGCAAGATGTTGGACAAAGACTGGGGAGGCCCAAATTCTAATCCACCCTCAGTCAGAAAATTAACTAGGTGATTTTGGGCCAGTCACACTCAGTCACAGGGGATAAAATTAAGGGAGACTCCCACATAACTTACCTTGAGCTCCTGAAGGAAAGACAGGATATAAAACAAATACTGTAATTATAATATCCCATTCTTCACTGCTTTTTTGGGGAGCTGGCCCAGTAAAGGTGTAAGAGAAATATATAACTTTTTTAGTAGAAATGGCATTCCTTTACTATTTAATTTCTTTACTGCTGTTTGGTTCTTTGTTAACTTCAGTAAAAATAATTGGTGCCTTGGAGTTGTTATAATGTTTATTATTAATCACATCTTACTTATCACAACAATGAATTAATATATTGGGCCTTTTAAATGCTTCTGACCAGGTTTTAGAGGAAGAGGGAATTATTTTATAGATCTGGTAAATAGACACTTTTAGATTCTTTACAGGCTTGGTTTACAATTTCCAGGTTTTGCTGTACAAAATACTGTGCACCTTTCATGGGTGCTTATGTGAGTAATAGGTATCCTTTACCATGAATATTAAGCATAATTTTGTTGTAAAAGAATGAGATGATAAGGTGATGGGAAGTAATAACCATTCCTGTTTTCCAGCTCTCTTATTGGCTATGTACCTCCAGGTTAAAATAAGATTATAATAGAGGTACAGCAGTAACTGACAAAGTACCCAGATTAGAGTTTCCCCCACAAAAAAAACTAATTAAATAACAAAATTCTTGGAAAAATGTTCAAATATGTTCAAAATGATACAGTCAGGATATCTGTGTATCTGCTGAAGCTTACTGAAATCAACAGTCATGTTTCAAGAATGCAAAGCTGACAAGTCTGGAAGTCGAATGATGGATCACCCATGAGCAGAACTACTTCATTATAAAAGAGTGAACAGAATACCAAACAGAAAGATATCCATAACAAATACAAATAAAAGCATTCTTGTCCTTATTACCTCTTCCATTACCTCTTCCTGCAATGCAGAATATTTTAAGAGGCAAGAAATATCTAGTTCTTCAAAGCAAAGTAGTCTCCTTTGCTTATTGCAGTTTCTAGCTAGCTTGTGTTAAGACAGTCTCTAAAATGGATTTTCACAATAGTTTAAACAATATTGCACTAACCACTCAATAATGTCTAAATTATGCGGACTTCGTATTTAAATTCTTCTACAACTCCCACAATAAATTACAGTAACTGGAACCTGGAGGTACATAACCAATAAGAGAGCTGGAAAACAGGAATGGTTATTACTTCCCATCACCTTATCTCATTCTTTTACAACAAAGTTATGCTTAATATTCATGGTAAAGGATACCTATTACTCACATAAGCACCCATGAAAGATGTACAGTATTTTGTACAGCAAAACCCGGAAATTGTAAACCAAGCCTGTAAAGAATCTAAAAGTGTCTATTTACCAGATTTATAAACTAATTCCTTCTTCCTCTAAAACCTGGTCAGAAGCATTCAAAAGGCCCAATATATTAATTCATTGTTGTGATAAGTAAGATTTTAAGATTGCTGAATTATTGGCTACCAAAGAGATACAGAGAGTATGCACACATTTGCATTTATCTGAAAACTGCTCAGTAAGGGCTGGACATTCGTGAATTTAATGAATTATATCCTGATTAAAATACATGTTCTTGAAGATGAGCTGTTTCATGCTTATATATATAGCCTATTTGCTGCAAAGAAATTGCATATTATGATTTTAATGTATATTTATGGAGATGTGCTCCAATATTAAGGAATACCATAAAGGTCTTTAGTGGTTATGAGTTTGGAAACAATATCTAAAGTGTATTTTAAAATCTTGTCTTCCCCTCAGTGTTGCCCCTCTAGGTCTGTGCGTATACCACAGTGATTGGCAGGGAAAACAAGAGACTTGTATTAACTGAAAACTACAGGCAAAAGTTCTTGGTGATAAAATGATTACTGCAGCATGAAATGAAAGGTATGTGTATTTTGTGAAATTGTTGGCCTGCTTCCTCATGATTTGACAGCTCGCTAAGATTCTAGGACCAGATGTATTGTATCCCAGAATGCTAGAGGAATTTGTGATGGTGTGTCAATCCTTTATGTTTTATATTTGAGAAATTCTAGCAAAGTTATGAAGTGCTGAATAACTGGATAAAAGTTGTTCCTATCTTCAAAGAAAGAAAGAATGACAGAATCTTCTGTCAATCTTCTTTTGTAACTTGGGGGAGATTCTAGAGCAGATCTGAAAGGGATCTACTGTGAATATCTTAAAAACATTGCAGGAATTATCAGAAATTGTAATGGATTTGTCAAAAATAAATCTTGTCAGACTAATCTTATCTCATTTTTTAATTGGGTAACCTTTTTAATAGATTGGAAAATGGTATGAACGTAGTATGGCTTGATTTCAGCAAAGTATTAGGTGAGGTACGCCATGTAATTCTGATTTAGCAAGCTAGTATGGTTTGGGCTGGATGGCATGATAATTAAATGGATACATAGCTGGCTTGAAAATCATGCTTAAACAGTACATATTAGTAATTCCTCATCAAGTTGAAGTGAGGTATTGAATGGGATGACTTGAATAAGGAGGCAGAGAGAATGCCTATCAGATTTCCAGATAACATAAAATTAAGTAGGATAGCTACTCCCGCCCCCCAAATTAAAAACAATCTTGATAGGTTAGAGAAATAAGTGAAAATAACAGAATGAAATTTAACAGACACAAATGCAGTTATATATTCCGTAAAAATAAACTAAATGTACAGATATAGAATGGAGAAAGTACAAGCGAAAATATAGAGTAAGATAGCTTAAAAGGTGGTCTGCGAACACATTCCTCTATATGAATGTCTCATTCTTTAGAAATTAATCCTAGAATAACTTCATCAGAACCTTTCTATAATTTATGAAAATTCTACATTCACAGAGGAACTGTGACAAGACTGAAACAACTAAATGTCCTATCTTCCAAGAGGGAAGAAAATCCAGGAATTATCCATCAATAAAGGTAAAAACTCCTTCAAGATAAGCTTGGCTCCTGGTAACTTCACGGACTAATAGTTTTCTTGGCATGATATGGAAGTTGTTTGCCATTAGCTTCTTCCAGGACATTTTTGTAACCTTCTAGTCTAATCTATAGCTCTGATATTATCAGTAGCTTGATGCTGATATTAGAAAGATTCTCAGATCTTTAAGAGTTGATCTCTTAGCATTGAGAAAAGGATACTTTGCAAAATCTATTCTTATTCTTTTAAATCAAAGACAAATTACACTAGACTAATCTTTATTTTCAAAATAGTTAATAGACTGATAGGTAAGACTATCTCATTGATATATTTTACCTTATTTTCAGCTAGTTTTCCATCAGTCGTCCACAATCTTTTTTTTATTAGTGTAGTTAAATTTTTATTGTTTTAAAAGCTTTCACCTTTATTTAGAAATAAACTTGATTTATATCATTGATTTAAACTGTCCTTTTTCTTCTTTAAATCACTTAAACGAGTCTACCCTCTTAGTTGGTAATTTGTCAGGAATGCTGTTGTAGTAGATTCCCAGCATTGATAGGGAGTGGGCAAAATAACATTTAAGGTACTGTTTAACTTTGTTTCTGTGGGTGAAGTGAATTTTAAGAATCCCTGTTGCCTGTTATCAATTTATTTCTATACCATGTAGGCCTAAAACACTAACTGGATATAATCATTCAGAACAAAGAGTCATCATCCATGAAATTTTAACATTTGCTTTTTATGGTCTTGCTTGACTTGATATGTTGACTATAAACTTTAAGCACTTTTAATTTTTTTTGTTTATACAGAGAAAAATATTCTTATGGTTTTAATGAAAATGGAAGTAAAAAAACGATAGCATTCTTAAGTAACAATAAGTACAGAAGGGAGTGCTATATTTTAATAGCTATTAAGCTTCAAAAGTACTTGAAGTCCTTTGAGGGAAATAAAAAAATGTGCAGAGATGGAAAACTAGTATGTGTATTTTGGCATTGGTTCAAACTGTCATTTGAAAATATATCTTCTCATGCAATCTTTGCTCTACAATCTGACAGTATAGGTTATATTGAAATGATTGAACATTCTTTGATATTGCTAGGAGCTTATAGACTACTATAATTTTCATTAAAAGTTTTCTGTTGTCCTTTATTCCATGGAAAGCTTTAAATTAAATAGCATTAATTCCTAAAATAAGCCTCCCCTGCATTCCAAATGATAAACTTCTTGGACCTCAACTCAGTTGTTATCAATGGATTACTTTAGAACATTGTAGTGCTGTGTTTTGTACATTTAGCACAATTCATATTTTCAACTGCAATAGAAATAACATTTTCCATACTTAGTTACTTTTCATGGTAATGATTTCCAGTGATATTTATGTGTTATGAGGCAAAAAGAATCTTCAGTTTCTAGGATTATACAGTAGTCTTGCTGCGTATGAGAAATTAATGAATCTCAAGAGTGAGCAGAATGTGGCCATAATTAACACTGTGGATAGTACAATACTCCAGTTGTTGACATTACCCTAAAATTTATCTGCAGATTATTTTCCAGTGTTAAAATGCCAAGTTACTATGAAATTAAACATTGTTTTCAGATTCATTATATTAATTTGTGTGTGTTTGATTCCAGGTCATTTCTTTTTGATCCAGGAGAGGCTGTTTCTAAAGAATTGCTATTCACAAATGCCAGACTTGTGAAGAAAACTTTTCCTTTATTCCCTAAAAGGAATTGAAGAAATGCTGCTCTGATTCTTTTCCAGCTCCTTATCATAAAAAATTGTTATATGAAGCCTGTATTACAGAGGTGGAAAGTACAGCCCTTGCAAAATAACTGAAATGAATATGTAGAATTTCATACTGTTAGGTAAACCAGGCCTTTGTTTAGGGTTTTTGCTCTCTAGAAATGATTGTTTATACAAATACAGGCAATTGCCAGTTCTTGTTCATACTTTGTTCCCTTCAATATATTTTAGTAAGATAACTCACCACAAAAATCTTTGGAGAACCTAACAGATTGGTATGTCCTTGAAGTACTGTCTCAGAAACCTTGATGAAAAATTGTGGCAGAAGAACCCGGATACATGTGTTATAAAAGAAAAAAGATAAATAGTTTGAAAGATTTCCCACTGAGAATTTTCCTTCTTAAAAGAGTCAGTTTATAAGTAGATAACAATCTTAATGCAGCTATGTAATAATCATTTTGTATGTTGCATTTAAGTGTATTCTCACTTTTTAAAGCAAACAGATAAAGATTTATTTTATGTACATTTGAATCTACATCAAAGCTGGAAAGGGGGGGATATTAGTAGCATGTCCCAAGAAATGAAGATTGGAGACTTAAAAGTATAGACAATAAGCCTTGGGTCAGTGGAATTTACTAAGAATCCCTATTCTTCCCTAAGGAATTCAACAGCAAAAGGAACAATGACTTTTATCTATCCAGGCTTTTGCCTGAAAGGAAAAACAATGCCAGTATAACCTTGTATGTAAAACTTTCCACTGCTTAGATGAACAAAAGTTAGACATGCTCAGGAAGGGCTTCTTCATTATTGATTACTATGTCACCCACAGTTAAGGTGGAAATTGGGTTCTAAACATGTTTACAAAAAATTATTTCCATTGTGTGTGTTTATACTGGACAGTTTCTTCCAAGCTGGGATAAAAACTGCTCTTCAACCACAGCTTGCCAGAATGGGTACAAAGGCCTATGTCTTCTTTTCTTGCTGAGCCATGGAGCCCTTAGTAGTGTACCTTATTTCAGTTTTATTCAAATGTTAATTTAGGTTTGCTAATAGTTTAACAATATCCTCAATCTGAGTTAAAGGGAATACATTTAATAATGGTTAGTCATGGCTAAGAATGTTGAATGCTTTTGGCTGATTAATGACAAATGTTATTTTCTGAGGAAAACTAGTGGCTGATAGAAGAACATTTGGGACATGTGTATGTTTTAAATAGTTTTAATAAGGGGAATATACCTAGCGAAGCATTTATATTTGTTTGTCATTTTGTGTTTAGCTTATATATGATAAAAGGGCGAACATTTATTCTGTTGCTTTCTTTGAATAAAAATGAAGTATGGGTAGTCCTTATTTAGCGACCACAGTTGGAACCAGCAACTTGCTTGGTAAGCGAAGTGGTCACTAAGTGAAATTGCAACTGTGCTTATGATCTTATTTCAGCTTTCCTTTGCTTTACAGACCTCTGAAGATCATAAATGCGAGGGTCGCAAAGCTACTTTTTCATCACTGTTGTAACTGTGAATGGTTGCTAAACAAGGCGGTCACTAAATGAGGGCTACCTGTACAATTGTTTTTCAAAAGATGTTTCAATAGAACACTTTCAGAGGGCTTAAAATCTATAGCTGCAGGACAAAAATGAAATATTTAACTAATATTCAAATAGATCTGAAGCCCTGAAATCTGTTCAAACGAAAGTTTAAATTTTAAAATAATTTGGTTATCCTTTGGGATTATCAGGGTTTCAGAAGTAAAGCCTAACTTAATGAAGTATAAGCTGTTCTCTGCAACTCTGTTACTGAAAATTAGAAAGCAGCATGATAGTAGTTCAAGCAGTTTTTGAATATTGTTTTAGCTATTTATACCTCAGAGGTATTTTGTGGGGAAGAAAATACAATGGGACAGAGTGGGAATATAATTTAGTTTCCTCAAATTATCAGAAAATAACCATATCATATAAGAAGAAAATCAGTCCTTTATCCCCTTTCCCACTAAACTCCATTGTAATAATGTATCTATTTTTATTGAATACGTCTGCATTAAGAGTAAACTTCGTATTGGAGAAACAACAAAACTGCCCTCTATGCCCAGGAAATAATTTTGCAGTTTACTTACCCTGCTATATCTCCTTAACCGTACTATCCAGAGGCAATATTGCCTTAATTTTTTGGTTTTACATACTCATCTGTTGTCCACCTTGGCAGGAAATCTTTCGCATATGAAAGATGAAGCAAATATGGGGCATGTGCAATAGTATAATATATACATATAAATATATTTTAATACTTGTGGACAAAATGTTACAAGTTGTTTGAGAACAACAAAATCACCAATGTCTTCCATTTTAAAATGTGTATAGTTCCATAAGCATTAGTGCTTTGTAGCAAAACTGTAGTGCCATGTTAGGATCAGTGCATGAGCCTAGTAGTACTTTTTTTACAATTTCAGAGTGACAAATTAATGAAGCTGATGATGTAATTTATAGGAAACTGACATGGTGATGGTCATGGTCTAAAGATGCAGTGTCCTTTCTAGGCAATGGTAGAAGAACCTGCTGCATAGAATCAGTGAGATGTGGATTTCATAGTGATTGCATGAAAATAATCTTTAAACAGCCAGGTACATTTTGAGTGCACTTAAAGAAACTGCATGTGAAACCCTAATAGAAGTAACAATCTTTAACACCCTTTGTGAATCATGGAATATTTTGCTACAATGGGAAAAATAAGTGATAATGTAAATTCTTAAATTTTAGGGACTAGAATAAGCGTATGACTAGTCTTTCCTACTTATGCTTTTTTTTTTTTTAAAATAGATTGTGTTTCCCCCAAAAATGGTTTGGTATGTTTTGAATCAGATTTATTGCTTAAATAAGTGATAATGTAAATTCTTAAATTTTAGGGACTAGAATTAGCGTATGACTAGTCTTTCCTCCTTATGCTTTTTTTTTTTTAAAATAGATTGTGTTTCCCACAAAAATGGTTTGGTATGTTTTGAATCAGATTTATTGCTTGTTTCTGTGCTTGCATTAAGACAAGAATGGATACCGTTTTGCGGTATAACTGTTGCTTGTAGAAACTGAATGATAGATTGGGGCTTGCACATATCTGCCAATATATCATGGCAGCTCTTAATCGAGTAGCATCTTGCAAAATCAACTAAACTAGAAATGGTATTACTGTACAGTTATTTATGAATGCATCTAAATTATTAGCATTCATTATTCAAATTTCAAATTTTTGCTTACCTTGCCATTTCGGTGAAGCATTTGTTGGAGTTTTCTGCTAATTCAACTATTTGATCCCATTTAATTCTTGCCTCCAAATATCTGTATTTACATTACAGTAATTAATCTTAGTAGGTGTTTTCCCCCTTTCTTTTCTGAAAATACTGCTTCAGTTAGGTAACTCATCTACTTAAGTTTTTGTTTTTGGTTCAAGCAAGTTTTAAGTTACGAATCTGGTTCTTTGTAGATCTTTATGTTTATGGTTTAAATGCTACTTTTAGCTTAAAGGGGATACTGCATCTTTTTTTTTTTTAAACTTATCTATAAATGGCCACCTTGATGAGGGAAGAGATGTCTCTGACTTTGTATTTCTTTATTGGTAAAACTTAATATGAAACATGTAATTTAACTGTTAAGCCAGAGAACTGCAGAATTACTTTTTAAAGATCTCTCTGTTTTCTCATGGAAGTGGCAAGGTGTGTCATTTGGAGATGAATTGTGAGGGCCCGAGCTTTATCGGGGTTCTCTTGTGAACAACAGTATAATTGAATGAAATGGTGTTGATGATTGGGAGAATTGATGGAAAAATACCTCTGAAACTGGAATGCAAAATAGCACAGTATGTAGGGGGAAGAATCCCTGATGCAAATAAAGCCATAAGATGACAATAAATAGAACTTTAGTAGCAATAACTGTTTGCATGTAATAGGACCTAACTTGCATTGGCAAGAATTGTATAGTAGAATAAATGGTATTAACCAAATAGGTTTGCGGTGCTCTATGTTGCAGGAAGTTGAATTTCTCATTAAAATGTTGGAAAGTTCCTCTCTACCACATAACTATGTGCTTGAATGCTACAGGCAAGGCTTTGCAAAAATTCCAGAATTTTATTTTTCAAAATTGATATAATTAGGAAAGATGTTTATTGTGTTGAAACTAATGAAAACTTACACAGAATGGTTGTAGATAATTGATCATCATTTCTGAAGAGACAAAGAATCCTTGAGGCTGGGTTCTACCCAGACATATAATTTAGGAGATTTGGGGATCCAGATTTCTGAACCAAGTTGTGGATTTCTCTGAAAGTAGTGTATGCATGTATAATTGTTTGGCTCATTTTTTAATATAAGCAAATCTGATGCGGTTTCACTTCTTTTTTAATTTTATAAAGCTATTTGTGGACTTGGAAGGTGAAGAGCAAGTTTCAGTTCACTCTGCCTGGCAAACTCTTACCCTCATCACTCTGGAGAGTACAGTTTATACCTCTTTAAAATGCAGTTGCACTAACCTTGTATGCATGTGCATACTGAAGACCAAGGAAACTGTAAATCTAATATAGAACTCTGCCTTAAGCAGGATTCAGTTGACCAGATTCATCTGCAAGGCTGGGACATATATTTAAAGGAAGTGGCTTTACTTTTATTTTTGCTCTTCATTCTGTGGTATCCATTATTTATCCACAGGGATAAGGCAGCAGTTTTAAAATAAAATGCATATACACGCATGCATGTTTATACACATTCTATAGAAATTTCTGCTCTGTACATATTTATACTGATCAGTGAAAATTAGCACAAGTTTCTAAAATGTTCAGAAGTTGAATCAAGCATTTAGTTGTTCTATATATGTAGTAAAATAGTTGATGAACTTAGGTAACTTTTGCTCACAAAATATATAGGAAGTGTTCATTAATCTTACAATTTTTCTAATCCTGGAAAATTATTTGTACTTTAGTTGCCTACGTGATTGTTTAAATACTCGTTGGCAGAATCCTAAAGGTATCTCATATCTGTACCAGTACAATTTTTCACTGCTAACATGTTTTGAACAGCTAATTTGCAAATCTTTTTCACTGTTGGTTAAACTGGTGCTAGGCTGAAATTATAACACTGCTCCTATAATAAGATAGAAAATTTAATTTCGTAATCTGGGTCACAAATGGGGGGGGCTCAGAACTGCATGCAAGACTTGAATGTGGTGCTATTCTGGAAGAACTAGTTAGATTGTTGTTAATTGCTTGCTTAAACATGTGAGCCTCATCCTAGAGTGTATTACTGCACTGTTCTGAGTGGTAAGGGATTATAGTATTTAAACTACTGGAGATTTGATATTGAAATATAATTCTAAACACAGATGAGAAAAAATTATTAAGTGGCTCTTAACCTGCCTATTCTGTGTGTTGTTTTCCCCTTTCTTTGATTATAATAATTCTCTTGATAGCTCTTAATTTTTGACTGCAGATCAGTTTTATTGAAACATTAATACTATTCACGATGAAAGGTTCCATAAAGCTTGTATTTCATCTGTCAACATTTTCAGTGGTTTGATTTCTTATTATTTTAATCAGAACCTACTCTCTAAATTTTGTGGTGAAAAAAATTAATATAGACCTCCCTTTTAGATTTTTAAATTTTCCTTTATTTTGCACTTTGAAAAACAATAAATCAAGTAAGAATTCAAGCACAATATTGACACATAGATGCCAGAAAATAGCTCTTACAAGCAGGTTTCTGGAATATAGATTGCAAGTAGTAGTTCTTTGATGTTTTGATCAGGGTTTAGAGAACCTAAGCTGAATTGAGTTTTTGCATTTGTTTGTATGCTTGGGGGTGGGTTACAAGAGGAGCCTATAGAGAGAGGGGCAGTGACTTTAACCTTCCCAGGAGTGCAGAGAAATGGGAGCTGTACAGAGTATGTAGATTTATACAAAGAAGATTGCCAGAATAAATACATTAGTGTATCTCTTAACAAATGGGAGAAAAGAACACTTATGCATGCACTTATACTTGTTACTGGAATCTGAAAATGATTAGAGAATGAATGTATATTGGCTATGGGAGGATTAGAGTGTCTATTTCTTGCATTCTAGAGAAGAAGGGTGTTATGTAGAGAGGAACTGACTTCATTCTAGGAACATGGGAAATGAATGACAGAGGCTTTGAATCTGAGCACTTCCTAGCTGGTTTTAGATGGAATTTCCAAGTTTTTCTAAGTCACAGGACAAAGAACATTCCATAAAGTGTAGTATTTCTTAAGGACTGGATGTTGCAATTCTTTTCTCTTCCATGCAGGTGAAGGCAGGTGGGGTTACAAAGCCCTCAGAATGGAAAACTTGTATGGGAAAAATGCCACTGGCACAAGCACATAGACTCACAAACCGTCTTTTCTAGAGATAGTATTCTAATTATGCATGATTAAAATGTTTAGTGTTATAGCTATTATCAGTAAATTGATATATGCATTTATACATTATGAAGCAATAGGAACCAATATACCAATAGCTTGAATTTACTGCTTTGATTCTCAGTTTTTTAGACAACATGCTGCCTCTTTAGTAAAGGGGCAGAATGTACAAAGAAGGGACGAAGCATGACGCCAAAACTGTGTATTAGAAAAAGGAATCAGTAGAATGAGCCCTTTTGGTCTCTTACCAAGTTCACAGTGGCTCTTGAGCCTACATAATATGAACATGGTTGGTGGCAAGTTGGGTTTCTTGGTTGCTGCAGTTGTACAAACAAAAAAGGTGCAGAGTTTCAGAGTACAGAGAAGGCAATAGGTAAATCCAAAATGGGGCAATAAAAATGATTTAAGCAGTTTAGGATTTGTTGTTATTTTTAAGTAGATAGTGAACTTCAGCCAGAGCCTGTTGCAGCTAAAAAAACAATGAGTAAATAAATGAGTAAGCTGTCCATACTTTTCAGGTATTCTTTCTAGGACTGGTGTGGCTTTTCAGGTTTTTTTCCATCACCTTGGCAGCTAGATTAAAATGAACTGGTTTCAGACCAGCAATAATGATACCTTACAATATGAAAATTGGAGCTATTTATCTATTATACATTCAAGTTCTATGTAAGTAGGGGGTGGCTCTTTTGATCTATTAGAGGACTGATGGTGTGAATATTCAATTTTGAAAAATCGGTGCAGCAGAACATGTTAATGTACAGCTACTAGAAACATAACAGCATAGCTGTTGTAGCAAAGTCTGTATTGGCACATTCTTTTCCTGTTAAGATGTGCTAAAAAGAAATCCTGAATTAAAATCCTTAGATTATGGCTATACTAGTTTGCAAAAAGGCAGTCTTAGCTTACCTGAATACTAGTATATCTCAAATTTTAACCCTTTTTCTAGGTATGAACATTTGTTAAGGCATGTTTATGCATTTTTGTGTTTTGTAACTTTCCCCGGCATATACATTTCCAACCATATTTTTGTACTACCATCGCCAGTAATCAGTAACTTCCAGATAGCTAGATGTATTGGAGTTGTGATTGAAGTCTTGCAAACCATTTTTAACAAGTGAAATAGACAACAGTATCTCATTTCTAAATTTTCCCTTCCAAAGTTTACTTCTCTTGTAGATTGTTTGCAGGTGTTTCAGCTAAACAGTAGGATTTAAGACTCTGCTACTAAATGGATTTTTTTTTTTCAAAACAAAATATTATTCTAAATTATTTGAAAACTGGGAAGAATGGGTAGCAAAAGTTAAGTCTTGAAGATAAACTACAAAGAGATTGGCAGACAGTATGCCTTTTACTAACAGATAAACTCATCTGGGTAAGTAGAGACAAGGAATAGGCTACATCTATTCCATTATACACATTAAGTATCAATATGAACAATTTGCCCATGTATATACCTGATATTTTCCAGATGGCAGCTTGCTTTTATATCTATGCATATTTGGGGAAGGGGAGGAATGTGTTAAATGTATTCTTTTGACACTGTAAACAATAATTGCTCAAAAATGAACTTTGAAACTCTGCACCTGTATATAATTTTTTAGCAATAAAGCAGCATGAGCTGAGAATGCACTAAAATGTCTGTGTCATTTTTTCTAGAAATAAACAGCTAAATGTACAAAAGACTATTGTACCATTTTGGTTTCCCTTCAGCATACAAAGGAAAATGTTTAAGTTAAAGAATCATTAAGTTGTATAATATTTTAAAACTTAGGTGTTCTGATGTATATGCTCTGCACCCAAGGTACAGAAATGTTACTCCTGGTGTGTGTGTGTTATTTCTCAACCTGAAGTAAAGACTGGTGGTTACCAAAAGCATGAACAGCTATAGACTGCCCCACCTTCACAGGAGAGACAAGCTTCTAGATGTTCACTTTTTTTTTTA